CCATAGGGAACCCCTCTACTCTGCATACACGGGGTTGCCACAAGTAGGATCGGACTTAAGGGGCTAATGGTTCGGTTTTGGGGGGGCGTCGGTTGCTCTCGCGATAACGCCGTCCCTAGCCCTTGCTGTTCTCGCGATGTATCAGGTTCAGGAGCCGGAGAATGGCCCCGCCGACGTGCGCGGTTCTCCGACCCTCCTAGGGTGGAGCGGGCCGGAAGCGGGCGGTGTCAGTGCCAGGTGTCTTGCGCTACTCTCAGCCGCGGCACTGGGTGAGTCGCTCGGCTGCGGGGGCGGGCTCCGGGGAGGGGCGCGGTCGCCCTGTCCCGGCCTGGCTGAGGCTGTGGCCTCGGCGCGCAGAGGCTGCGCTGAACTTGGCTGGGAGCTAAGCCGCAGCCGGCGCCTTCTCTCTGCTTCCCCCCCGTGGCTGTGAGACGTGGGGAGGGCCCGTGCGGGCGAAGGGCGCGGCCCACCCGCGTTGTGGGTCTGGCGCCCTGTTCCCCGCCGGCCGGAGTGGGAGGCGAATCCCGCACCGCGGAGTCCGGGTAGCTCCGCGGAGCGCAGGGCTGCAGGGGAGGGAGCCGGGGTCTCTGTGGGAGGACCAGGTTTTGTCCGGGACCAGCAGGTGCTTGCTGGATGGTTCTCCCCCTCCCCTATGCGGCTTCTCCCCAGCACCCTCTTTTCCGGGCAGACTGTGCCTGACACCCGTTCACTCTTACACGTTACCCTCTGCCGTTTTTCCTACACCCCTGGTTGACTTGTTGATTAGAGCAGCCATTTCGCAAATAATTACAGAGGGCTCCTTTAGTGCTGGGGTTACGGCAGGAACTGCAGCGTCCGTGGCCTCATGGGGCTCATATTAGAATAAAGTTGAGACTGGCAGTAAACAAGCACATGACAAAGGTTCTGAAGGCAAAAACCCAAGGGGATAGAATATGAATGATGAGGGGCTGGTAGTAGCCATGAGTGGTCAGGGAAGGCCTTTCTGAGGAGGTGACATATGACCTGAAACCTGGTGGCTGAGAGGGAGCCAGCCCTGCCGACTCCGGAGGAAAACCTTCCAAGGCAAAAGTAGAAGAGGTGGTGAGGCCCTGAGCGCCAATGGCCTTGGGTGGTTTGAGTAACAGAGAGAAGCTGGCGTGGCTGAGTGTCGTGAGCAACCAGCCAAGTGATGGAGGGACAGGGTGCGCAGGCGCGGGAGGAGCACAGGTTCTGTCCTAAGGGTGGAGGGAAGAATGACGACTCCTGGTGCTCCTGGCTGCATGCTATTCCCCCAGGAAGCCCTCCCTGATGTTAGTGTCCGCTTCACCCACCTGCCGTTATTTCCCTCCCAGCGCTGTGAGCAGGAACTTGATGTGTTTTGTTCATCATCATATTTTCTGCCCCATTATTTTTAACCTGGTACGGTTTTCATCTAATTACAGACTTATTTTTTGGTTCCAAAGGTAGAACTAAAAGCAAGTTTCTTCTCTCTAACCAGGTGGCCCCTCCCTGAGGACATGAACTCCCCAGATATGAGTCAACAAAAACAAGCTGTCATACCTCCCCACCCCAGCAGTTTCACCCCAAGGGGAGGGTGATAGTGTTGAAAAGTGGGGAGTTAGCCCTTCGCAGCAACCCCCGCCCCCTGAACTGGTCTGGCTGCCTGATCAGGCTGGGGAGGACAGCAGATCTGCCAGCAGGAGCAGCACAGAAACCCAGAAAGAACTACAGTAACACGTTGCTGTGTGCTGCCAGGCTTGACCGTGTGTGGCATACATTCATTTTGCTAAGCAGAAATGCTATAGTCGGTTTACATAGCCTGCCTGTCTCGTGATGATGCAGCAGGAATGTTTTCTCATGTTCTACAACGTGATCCTGCTGGTTGCAGAGCAGCCCCCTCACCTGGCCATTCCCTCACTGCACAAATCATTACTGAGCACAGGCTGTGCGCTAGGTCCTCCAGGTCCTGGAGACACAGCTGCGAATGATGAAGCCTCACAGGGAAAGACATAAGAAGGGAGTGAGTATGTGTTGTGTCAGGTGAGAGCAGGTACCGTGAAGAAAAATAAAGCACGGGATGAGAGTAGAGAATTCTAGGGTGTGGGTAGCGATTTTAAACGGTGGCCACAGAAGGCCTCCCTGGGAAGGTGAGGTCCCAGCAGAAGTCAGACACAGGTGCGGGAAGAGCTGTGTGGGATGCAGGTCATAGTGTGCGGCTCCTCCTTGGACCGTGAGGCGGTGACTGGCCTGCCAGGATGTGCTAGTCCCAGTGTCCAGCCCTTTCCTGCTCTTCTGGACCTGGCAGCCCCTCTGGGGGTTGGGTCCAGGGTCGGAGACCTCAGGCTTGGCTTCTTCCACTCATGGCTTGTGTGCTTCCTCAGTGCTCACGGTTCTCAGCCGCCAGCTTCCTGCCAGCCTCACCAGACGTGCAGCCAGGAATGGCAGTGGCGCTCCCAACGCCTGGAGCCCAGGTGAGCCCCCCTGAGCCTGCCCACTGCCCGGGAGGCTGCCTTAGCCCCCAGCCTTGGCTTTGCAGCCCTGAGCACCTGAGGCGAGTGCCATTCAGAAGCCCGCCAGGACTAGTCAAGGAACCTCCTCCTCCCACAGCCTCGGGGCTCCCCCTCCCTTTCCTGGCCCCAGAGTTGTGGGGGTGGGGGGGCGGTGGGGAGCTGATGCCCTCATCTCTCTGCTTCCTGTCCAGTGACCCTCCACTGCCCAGGCTGCCCTCCTGGTCTCTCCCCAGGCCCACCTGGCGCACTCCCTTTTTCCTCCAGCTGAAGCCCCTGCCAGTCCTGGGCAGTGATGAAGGACACGCTGTCTCTGCTCAAGGTCTGCCTCACTCCCTTCCAGCTTCTCCTCTGGGTTTTACCTTCTTTGGGGTCTCTCTGGGAATACCTTCTTTTCTTTCCTGCATCCCCACCATATCACTCCCTCCCTCAGGGTCACAGGGACAGAGTCAGCCATTCGAGGCTCAGCCTCATCTCCTGCGGCCTCAGATGAGGCTCTGTGGGCTCCTCCTGAGGCTCTGGGCGGAAGTGGGCTCCCGGCTGCCTGCAGCCCTGAGCTTCCAAGGATGGTGCATCCCCAGCACCTGCCTCCACTGTTCCCGGACCTCCCCGTCCTGACCCTGCTGCCTGGCTCAGCCACCAGCCACTCTGGGGTGTCTGCCTTCCCAAATCCTTGATAGCCCGAGCAGAGAAGTGGGGCCAGGAAGGAGACCCCCTCCCACCCATGCCTCTGTGGGGCAGGACCTTCCCGTCCGGAATTTGCACCACTTACTCCCCTCCTATTCCCCTTGGGTTTCTCCCTCAGGAGTTTTGGGACATCCCCTCTGTGCTGGGCCCTGGTATGCAGCAGCGGTCCGCCTGGGTAGAGGCCTTGTCCCCCAGCACCAGCTGGCCCACCCTTGGTTTTGGGGCATGGCCTCCTGACCTCTCAGCCTGTGGGACATGTGTTCCAGGAGGCCATGGCATTCGAGGATGTGGCCGTGTACTTCACGAGGATAGAGTGGAACTGCCTGGTCCCCGACCAGCGGGCGCTGTACAGGGACGTGATGCTGGAGAACTACGGGAACGTGGCCTCACTGGGTGAGAGCCTGTGGCCTAGCCTGGGGCAGGAACTGCCTTCCCAAGTTGGGTGGGACCCAGAGACTCCACCGCCTTGTGCCTCCCAGTCCTTCCTGAAGGTGGAGTCTGCCGTGTTTGGAGGGGAAGCTTGAAGCTAGACCCTGGAGCTCCTCCCTGCTTCCTTTATCAGCTGCCCAGGGCCTCTCAAGGGGCAGGGCCTGTCCCTGCCTTCCGCCGCACAGCTGGGCAGTGTCTTCGCCAGCCCTGAGCAGTGCGCACCCTCTGTCTGACACCAGCTCTCCCTCCCTCCCTGGCCTAGGCTTTCTCAATGCCAAGCCCGCCCTGATCTCCCTCTTGGAGCAAGGGGAGGAGCCAGGGGCCTTGATTCTGCAGGTGGCCGAGGAGAGAGAGCCCAAGGCCGGCCCACGCACAGGTGAGCATGAGGTGTAGGGAGACCAGCGTGCGTCTCGGCAAGGTGTGTGTATGGGGTTGTATGTTTATCTGCTCACAACAGGGCCAAGTTTCCTACTAAAAACTCTGCTTGTAGGTCTGGGGCCACAAAGACTAGTGCACAGGGCCATGTGCAACCTCGAGTGTCCACGCTGGCGTCCCCAAGGGGCTGGGGCTGGGGCTGTGAGTGCCTGGTGAACACCAGGCGGGGCGGGACCCTCGACTTACTTTTATCTTCCCAGTTTCACGGAGCCAGGTGCCAGGAACCAAGCCCTGGGCTGTGGAGGCAGCAGAAGGGGATGAGACAGTCTCTGCAGGGGTGGAGGGCATGGGGCGATGAGGAGCTCCCCATACTCTGCCCCTGCACCTGGCCTGCCCTCCCTCCAGGCTCTGGTGGAGCTTCCTCCTCCCCCAGGGGTACCCACCCACATGGCCAGCCTCCCACAGTGCTTACACCCTCATTAACCTCCCTTCTGGAACCCTTTCTCACCCAGTCCTTGGTTTTAAAGCCTCTTCCAAGAGTTTCTCAAACCTTGCTTCTCTGACATGAAGATTCTGTTTTCGTGTCGGTAAGTTCCTTTTGTGAAGGTAGAGACCACACCATGCTTCTGTTTTCTGTTCGTTCTTTCAGACCCCAGGATGGAGGCTGGGATCAAGGGGGAGTCCTCTAAGCAAGCAGGACTGCCGGGAAGAGTATTGGGGTGCTTCCCCAGGGGGTACCCCAAGTCACCTGAACTGAATGGAAGTCCGGAGGACAGGTCAGATAAGCAACTCGTTGACCTCACAGGGCTGGGCCCGGTGACATCCAGTGCCCTAGGAGGGGGCCCCTGCTGGGGGAAGGGCACCTCCACAGGGGTCCTGGGCAGCGAGGAAGCTCCAGGCAGCCAGCAGGCGGGTCTGGGTTCCCCACGAGGCCCATGGCCAGCACGTACCACTGGGGAGAGAGCCTACGAGTGCGTGTGCGGCAAGTTCTTCAAGTACAACTCGCTTCTGCTCCGGCATCAGATCATCCACACGGGAGCCAAGCCCTTCCAGTGCACAGAGTGCGGGAAGGCCTTCAAGCAGAGCTCGATCCTGCTGCGGCACCAGCTGATCCACACTGAGGAGAAGCCCTACCAGTGCAGTGAGTGCGGGAAGGCATTCCGGCAGAGCGCGCAGCTGCTCGCCCACCACCGGGTCCACGCCAGGGAGAGGCCTTACGAGTGTGGCGCGTGCGGGAAGGCCTTCAGCCGCAGCTCGCGGCTCCTGCAGCACCAAAAGTTCCACACAGGGGAGAAAGCCTATGAGTGTGGCGAGTGCGGCAAGGCCTTCTGCCGCCGCTTCACGCTTATCGAGCACTCCCGTATCCACAGTGGTGAGAAGCCCTACAAGTGCCTGCGCTGCGGGCAGTGCTTCATCCGCGGCTCCTCACTGCTCAAGCACCACAAGCTGCACGCCGAGGACAGCCCGGCAGAAAGCAGCACGAGCCAGAGCTCCCCACTCAGCGCGGTACAGCGGGCCCCCTCGGGGGACAAGTGCTACGAGTGCCCCGTGTGCCAGAAGCCTTTTAAGCACAACTCCCTGCTCCTGCTCCACCAGAGGCTCCACACAGGCGAGAAACCATTTGCTTGTAAGGAGTGCGGCAAGGCCTTCAGCCGCAAGTCCAACCTCACTCTGCACCAGAAAATCCACACCAAGGAGAAGCCCTTTGAGTGCACAGAGTGTGGCAAGGCCTTCCGCCGAAGTTACACCCTCAGTGAGCACTACCGTCTGCACAGTGGCGAGAAGCCGTACTGGTGCCGGGACTGCGGGAAAGCCTGCAGCCGGCTGTCTGCCCTCATCCAGCACGAGAAGACACATGGCCGACAGCGTGCCCTGGAGAGCGGCCAGTGCAGGCGGGTGCCCCGCTGGGCTCCTCGCTGACAAGACAGCAGCAGAGACCCTACCTAGGAGGGCCCACCCTACCTGGTAAAGCCCACGCCACCCGGGAAGATCACCCCACTTGGGAAGGCCCCAAGGGCTGATGCCTTAGCCCCGCCCACTTGGCATGTGGCCAGGAATTCTTTCTGGACGGAGTCCTTTGGGTGTAGCTAAGGGATGGGAACAGGCTCCTGTGGAGAAGTCGAAAGAGAGGGCAGAGGGAGGGGTTGGCAGTGGTCAACAGCCTGAGGAAGGGCGCTTTGAGGTGCAGGGACTGAGAGCCCAAAACTAAGCCTGGATGCTCCAGGAAACCAGCGTTTCCAAACCCAGCTTCAGTCCGTCCCTGGAGGCACCTCCCAGACTCTAAGCCAACTAGATGGGGATGGTGTGTGGGGTTTGTGTTCTTTTTAACACTCATCTGTTTTCCAAATATTGTGATCAGAAAAAAGATGTTTTGATTTTTTTGTTGATTGGATTGTTGGCTTCTTTTGTTTTTAAGATTGGTCAAGAAGACCATACCCCATCTGAAAGAGAAGAGGGCCAGAAGTGACAAGCATTTTTTGAGTCCAGCTACCCAGTTGGGAGAGGCTAGGGCAGAAAATGGAATCCACAGGGTACCTCACGAGTGTGGTGGGGCTGGGGAGATACAGGTGGCATCGAGGGTTTGTGAACGCGCCAGGGGAAGTAGGTCTGGTGATGGCTGACCCTGATGACAAGCCTGGCTAGGCCAGGACTCAAGACGGAACTTGCAGGCCCCTGTAGTCTGGCCTGAGGGAGGGAGGGGAGTTCCTAGCCCAGCTCAGCAGGTGAGATCCACCTTCCCCAGAGGAAATGCAGCTCTGGGCCTATTGGCAGAAGGTGCTCACTGGGGAGAGGCGTCCCATGTGGAGACCCCATATCCTCTGCCAGTGCTCCTTGATCTGGAGCAGGAAGGGGAGCCCTTTCTCTGGACCCCTCCTGCCCACCATAATTTGGTCCCTGCTTGGGGGGTCCGAGAGCCCAGCGTTCCTCAGACCACTGTAAAAATGACATGGCGTCAGACCTCATCTAACTTAAGGGGGAGCGGGTAGATTCAGCATCAGCCCAAAGCGGATTCCCATGAGGTGGAGGTCACACACGCCTCCACTTTCCAGCCTTTTCACCAATTCCGACACCAGCTGTCCTTCTCGTGGCACTCTCTATTGCTTTGCTCGGTTCAGTAGTTTGTTGTAATGGCTGCACAGAATTCACAGACCACACTTACAGTTAAGTAACTTACTAAGGAAGTAACAGGATACAACTCTGGATTGGGATCAACAGGCTACAACTCAGGATTAGGATCAGGAAGCATGTAGCCAAAGTCCCTCTTCAGTGCAGGACAGCTCTCTCAGCTCCTTTTGGTTGTGCGAGCAAGCAGGTCCTTCTCTCTGCCATTCAAGCCTCCTCTTGGCCCCCTCAGGACAGGCTCCTCTCGGCCCTGGCCTCTGCCCTGCTCTTGGGCAAGTGTTACAAAGCACTTTGACTGCCAGCGAGTGCCCAGAGGCACCCTACTCCACTAGGAAGCCTCCTTCCCAAAGGTGCTCAGCTCTAGCTCCATGGGTTGGCAAACCTAACCTGCTGGTCCCATGCTTCTGCTGTCTCTTGCTGTTTTCAGTGTTACAGCTTTCTCTTGTCTCCTGGGTGTAGGAGGTTCTCAGTGCAGGGACCCCAGGTCCAAAAGACACATTGTGCTCCTGGCTCTTCTTCTTGATGGTAGTGAGGTCTCTCTCCACCTCTGGGATTGGCTCCCTTTAAGCCTAGTGGGATAGCAAAACTGACCAATCTCCTACAAGGGTTCCATGCACCTTATTTGCATAGTTCCACCCCTGGAAGTGTTCTTTGTGCCTTATTTGCATTATTAGCAGGCTGTCCAGTCCCCTGGGTGGACCACAAGTACCTTATTTGCATAACCCCACCCAATCATTTTGTGGGAGTTACCAGATCGTGGCTAGAAGGGCCATATAAGGTAACTTGCTGCACTACAGCCACCCAGCTGGGCAAGCCCGGTGTTGAGAGTGCAGGTGGCGGAAAGCTTGGGGAAGAAGTGCCCTGAGGTCCCGGTGGTGAGCAGGAAGTCTTAGTGACCCCTGCTCATGTCAGGCAACCCTGAGAACATGCCAAGGACTCCCAGGCAGCTATGAGACAGTCTTACAAAGCGTGTGCCAGAAAGGAAAGTCCTCCCACAGCTGAGCTGAGAGCTGGCCTGTGAGCATTTATTTTTTAATTAACATCTTTTTCTGTTTAAGTATTTTAAGTGTAAAATTATTGTAGAGCATTTGGAAAATACAGAAACTTATAAAGAAGAAACCTAAGAAATTGTCCTTTATCCCATTCTCCAGAGATACTACTGCTGATGTTTTGGTGCGTTTTCTTAGTCTTTCTAATGTATGTGTATAGATATTTACAGATTTGGGTTTACGCTTTGTTTAGAGTTTTGTACCTAATGGTTGGATAACAACCACCCCTCATCCGCCTACCATTTTATGTGAAACACAGTTTATTTAACAGTCCCTAATTGTCAGACATCTTTTCACTGAAATTTTCACTATTACAGTTAACTTGCTCACATTAGCACATATCCATGGTGATTTCATTACAATTGGAAATGGACTTTCCAGATCAAGAATACTAAGGGACGGTGCTTTTTTAGTTATTTCATTAACCACAAAAAAGGCACTTTGTTTTAATTTGCATTTCTTGATGTACTTCCTGTAAACACCCTGTGCCCATTTTTACTGGCAGATCCACCGCCCCAACTACAAGCAAACAGGTAGCCTCCTGAGGGTCTTTAAACCTCCCCACTGGTACTAGGTACTTGGCCAGGGTGGTGGGCGGGGAAGGTCCGGCTGTGACAGGAAGGTTCCTGCCGCCTGCCGTCCCCATCGAGACCCGCTGCCCGGGGTGTGGCAAGTCCCAGCTCTTCCCACTGCCCTCCCTCTTCCCTACCCCGCCACTGGACGTTTGATGCAGGGGATGGGTTGGGTCCCGCCCCACACCCGTGCAGCCCAGGCCCCCCGGCCACTGAGGGCGCAAGGTGACAGCAGGACCATGCGGGTTCACAGAGAGGTAGGGGGAGGCTGAGCAAGAGCCCAAAGGTGACAGGTTGGTGGGGGGAGAGGGGAGAGGGTAGTGTGGGGCATCTGGGCTGGGGTAGATGGAGGATGAGCGGGGGGTCCTGGTCCAGGGTGGGCAACCCTGACCACCACCACCATCCCAACCCCCACCCCCTGCAGTCTCCTGGGAGGTGGGGAAGAGGGGCCCACTGAGTCACATGCATCCTGAGAGGCCTGGGGCACCCAACAGTGAGTGACTGGGGGACACCAGAGCCAAAGACTGAAGGGCATCTGTGGGAGGGGAAGATGGGCAGCGGTGACTGTATCCTTTCACCATACTTATTCACTCTGTATGTTGAGCAGATAATCTGAGAAGCTGGATTATATGATCAAGAACGGTATCAGGATTGGAGGAAGACTCCTTAACAACCTGTGATAGGCAGATGACACAACCTTGCGTGCTGAAGGTAAAGAGGACTGGAAGCACTTACTGATGAGGATTACATCTCATCATAACGATGTATGGATCACACCTCAACATAAAACAGAAATCCTCACAACCGGACCAGTAAGCAACATCATCACAAACAGAAAAGATTGAAGTTGTCAAGGATTTCATTTTACTTGGATCCACAATCAATGCCCTTGGAAGCAGCAGTCAAGAAATCAAAAGGCGCATTGCATTGGGCAAATCTGCTGCAAAAGACTTCTGTGAAGTGTTAAAAAGCAAAGATGACACCTTGAGGACTAAGGTATGCCTGACCCAAGCCATGGTATTTTCAGTCACCTCACATGCATGCCAAAGCTGGACATAAGGAAGACCGAAGAACTGACGCCTTTGAACTGTGGTGTTGGTGAAGAATACTGAATATACCATGGACTGCCAGAAGAACGGACAAGTCTGTCTTAGAAGAAGTGCAGCCAGAATGCTCCTTAGAGGCAAAGATGGTGAGACTTCGTTTCACGTTCTTTGGACATGTTATCAGGAGGGATAAGTCCCTGGAGAAGGATATCATGCTTGGTAGAGAGTGGGCAGAAAAGAGGTAGACCCTCAATGAGATGGATTGACACAGTGGCTGCAGCAATGGGCTCATATCTAACAATGATTGTGAGGATGGTGCAGGACCGGGCAGTGTTTTATTCTGTTGTACATAGGTTCACTGTGAGTTGGACCAACCCAATGGCAGCTAACAACAACAATGCACCTTTAGCTGTTCACCTTCTTAGAATTTACCTTCGATTGATACGTAAATACGTCTGCACCAGATGCTTTTAAACTCTTTTTACCAGAAGGCCTATAAAGAAGTGTTCACACACACAGCAGTGTATGTATCTGTGTGTATGAATGTAAAACTGAAACAACACTTACCTCATTGCAGGCAAGGTTTTATATTTCTATTTTTTAAACATACAGAATGTGACCCACTAAGTTGATTTCATAATCCAATAACAGTTCTCCACCTGCAGTTTGAAAACTGCTGTCCTGCATCAGACCTTTTTTTTTTTTTTTTTTGTGGCTTTTTTTTTAATTGTACTTTAGGTGAAGGTTTACAGAGCAAATAGTTTCTCATTAAACAGTCAGTACACATATTGTTTTATGACATTGGTTAACAACCCACAACATGTCAACCCTCTCCTTTCTTGACCTTTTATTTTGGTGAAAATATAGTCAAAGATACACCATTTCAAAAATTTCTACATGCACAGTTCAGTGACATCAATTACGTTCTTCCAGTTTTGCTGCTATAGTCATTTTAGATGAAGGTTTACAGAACAAAATAGTTTCTCATTAAACAGCTAATACACATGTTGCCCTATGACAATTGTTAACAACCCCACTACACGTCAACACTCCTTACTCAACCTTGGGTTCCCTATTACCAGCTTTCCTGTCCCCTTCTGCCTTCTAGTCCTCGTCCCTGGACTGCAGTGCCTCATTAGTCTCAT